ATGGATGGATGGAGGGAGGGGGCGGAAGGACTGATGGATAAAGGGAGAGAGGGAGGGGCGGAAGGACTGATGGATGGATGGAGGGAGGGGCGGAAGGACTGATGGATGGATGGAGGGAGGGGGCGGAAGGACTGATGGATAAAGGGAGGGAGGGAGGGGCGGAAGGACTGATGGATGGATGGAGGGAGGGGCGGAAGGACTGATGGATGGAGGGAGGGAGGGATAGAAAGAGGGAGGGAGGGAGTGGGGGAGAGGCAGAAGGACTGATGGCTGCATGGATGGATGGAGGGACGGAGGGAGACCTTCACTCTTTCTCATGTATCGCAGGAAGTCACCTCATCCTGAGCAGGGGCCAGGTCAATGTTCATAATCATCTCCATCCGCTTCCGATTCCCCGTCCTCAATTACCCCTCGCCCCCCCTCCCTCCTTCAACCCCAGCCCCTCTCTTTTTCCTCCTGCCCCTCCCTTCCTCCCTTTCTCCCTCCTTCCTTCAGGCCGTCCCTATCTGCAAGTTCCAAACGTTTCAGGGTGAAGGGAGGCGATGATGAAGACCCTGTAGGAGGGCATTCCAGATCAATGAACTCAATGCCCATCTTGTATCTATTAGAGGGCATTTATTCTCTGGGTGAAGTCCAGGGGTGACCCATTGGAAGATGTTGGCACTAACCAGGGTACAGGCCACAGTGTCCATCTGCCTCATTCAATTCCAATTGTCCAAGTCATGCCAGGAGTGTGCCCCCCCCGAACTGACAGGGTTTGTCAGGGTCCTCCTCCCCTGGTCTGTGATGGGCTGTTGTTGCCACATTATGGTCAAACGCTCAGCTCTTTAAACATTTTCACTGACCTTGATGTTGCTGCTGTTTTTCCATTGACCCAACCCCGTTTGGAGCCAATCAGGGACCAGTCGATGTCAGGCGTTTCTTGTTGGAAAATGGACAATTACAGCAACATCAGAATCTCACAGAGAGAGTTTGCACTGAGCTGGTATTGACGGTTTGCCAACCCCCATCTGTTGAATGATGCAGATGTGTTTGCTGAGGAGAATATGCAGCTCTTCAAAATGAGAAGGTCATTGCCATTTCCCTAGGTCAGTATCCCAGCTCCAGGATATCTCTCCAGGAGTTCCTTAGGGTAGTGTCCTCGGCCCAACCATCTTCAGCTGCTTCATCGATGACCTTCCCTCCATCATAAGGTCAGAAGTGGGGATGTTCACCAATGATTGCACAATGTTCAGCACCATTCGTGACTCCTCAGATACTGAAGCAGTCCATGTTCACATGCAACAAGATCTGGACAATATCCAGGCTTGGGCTGACAAGTGGCAAATGACATTTGGGCCACACAAATGCCAGGCTATGACCATCACCAATAAGGGACAATCTAACCACTGTCCCTTGACATTCAATGGTGTTACCATCACTGAATCCCCCACTATCAACATCCTGGGGGTTACAATTGACCAGAAACTCAACTGGACTCACCACATTAACACAGGGGCTAAAAGAGCAGGCCAGAAGCTGGGAATACTGTGGTGAGTAACTCACCTCCTGACTCCCCAAAGCCTGTCCACTATCTACAAGGCACAAGTCAGGAGTGTGATGGAATACTCCCCACTTGCCTGGATGGGTGCAGCCCCAACAACACTCAAGAAGCTCGACACCATCCAGGACAAAGCAGCCCCCACTTGATTGGCACCACATTCACAAGCATCCACTCCCTCCACCACCGATGCTCAGTAGCAGCAGAGTGTACTATCTACAAAATGCACTGCAGAAATTCAGTAAGACTCCTTAAATAGTACCTTCGAAACTGACGACGAATGCAGCAGACATATGGGAACCCCATGCAAGTTCCCCTCCAAGCCACTCACCATCTTGACTTGGAAATATATCGCCGTTCCTTCACTGTCACTGGGTCAAAATCCTGGAATTCCCTCCCTAATAGCATTGTGAGTCAACCCACAGCAGGTGAACTGCAGCGGTTCAAGAAGGCAGCTCACCCCCACCTTCTCAAGGGCAACTAGGGCCAGGCAAGAAATGCTGAATCAGCAACATCCATGTTCTGTGAGTGAATAAAAATAGTTTCTTGAGGTTTTGAAGAGTGACATGAGACGTAGAAATATTATTAAAGTAGCTTCTGTTTAACTGGAAGCAGATCTGGCTTCTTCCAGGAAAAGCTTCAGGCATCTTCATACTGAGCTGTGATAGGCTGGGACCATGGAACCTTGGACATGTGTTATCAATAACATTAAGCTAGAAGGGAGTCAGACTTGGATGGACCTTAAACAAACAGGTTTAAATATTCAGTAATTTCAGCCTGTTCCTGAATATTTGGGCTGACAGTATGACTTAAGGCAATACTGTCTTGGCAGTTGTCTACAACAATGGAGAGAATGCTTTCGATGCATTGACATGTTGCAGTGAGGCTCAGGAGTAATTCCAACTGAAGGAATTGCGCTGACTCCCAGAAAGAGAGAGCCAATGAGAGAGCTTGGTTCAGGAAGTAGGTTTTCAGAGGTCCAGCACTAGAGGGGCTTAGGCTTAAGGTGAGAGGGGAAAGTTTTGAAAAGGACCTGAGGGGCAACATTTTCACACAGAAGGTGGTGCGTGTATGGAACGAGCTGCCAGAGGAAGTGGTGGAGTTAAAAGGCACCTTGATAGGTACATGAATAGGAAGGGTTTAGAGGGGTCTGGGCCAAATGCTGGCGAATGGGACTAGATTAATTTAGGAAACTTGGTCAGCATGGCCCAGTTGAGCCAAAGGATCTGTTTCTATGCTGTACAACTCAATCAGTGTCTTCAATCAGAAAGCAAGTTTGAGAGAGAGTGAGAAGGAGAGAGAGAGAGAGAGAGTGAGGGGGAGAGAGAGAGAGTGAGGGGGAGAGAGAGAGAGAGAGAGTGAGAGGGAGAGGGAGAGGGGGAGAGAGAGAGTGAGGGCATTAGCGATGGAATGCTAGAGCTCGGGTATCTGAAGGCAGGGCTGCCTGCAATGGGATGGATCAGTTTGGGAGCTGGGATTTCTGAAGCTGCAGTGTAATCGGAATAATCCTCCAGCTCAATGGGACAGTTCTCCCTGGCTCCATCCCCACCTTCCAGATCCGAACCAGAAAATCACTCACAATGGCTTAGCCTTTCTTCCTGAACCGTTACCTTTGGTGTCTCTTGGGGATCAATCCCTCCTATTCCTCACCTACATACTCACCTGTGCTCACAAATCTCCATTGGGTCCCAGTCAAACAACACCTTCATTTTAAAATCTTCATCCTTCCTTTCAATTCCCTCCGTAGCCTATTTGCTCTCTGTCTCTCTGATCTCCTTCAAGCCCACAGCCCTTCCTGCCCTCTGCTCTAATTCCGATCTTGCCCTTTCCTCAATTTAATCCTCTAACACTGGTCGCCATGTCTTCTACTGCCTGAGTCACAGGCTGTGGAATTCCCTCTCTAACTTTCTCCCCATCTCTACCCCCTCCCCCTCTCTGTCCCTATCCACCTCCTCTCCCCTCTCTTTCTCCCCCCTCCCCTTCCTCTCTCTCTATCCTCTCCCCTTCCTGTCCCCACCTTCCCCTTCTTTTCTCTCCCCCCTCTCCCCTCTCTTTCTTCCTCCTCTCCCCCCTCTCCCCTTCCTCTCTTCTCACTCTCCCCTTCCTCTCTCCCCCCTTTCCACTCTCTTTCTCCTCCCTCTCCCCTTCCACTCCTCCCAATTTATAAACAGGAACAGGGATCCTTCACTTTCCCAGCTGCTCCTTGAAACACTCCTTCCAGCTTCCGTCGTTCTGAGATTATCCCAGAATGGAGGAGGCCAGTCCACCAGCCCGTCCCCATATCAAGGCCCTTAACTAGCCAATGGGAATGGGAGTGGGGAATGGGCCTCTGTCATGGGCCCCCTGTCCACTGCCTGTCCCCTCAAAGTGGAAGCTCCCTCCACTCCCAACCACCCCATCAGAACCCTTCTCCCACCTCGCCACTCACTGCCCAAACCACAGACCCTCAGCACCGGAGTGCCCTTCTCCTCCACTCGCCTCATCTCTCCTCACCTCCCATTCCCCCCAATCTCCCTTGCCCAGCGTGGATCCCATCCCCTGTCTCCCCTCCTCACCCCCTGCCACGCCCTGGTCCCAAACACTGGGGCTAAGAGTCTAGGGGCTGCCAGGAGACCCTGCCCCAGTTTAACTGGCTGTTTTGTGAGGCAGGAGGTTTCTCTGAGAGAGGAGTACAGACCAGCCAATGAACAGGGTCTAACCCACTGTGGCACTGCTGTCATCACTCAGAAGTCCCAATCAGCCATGGCAATATTGAGTGGTATAGCAGATTTGAAGAGCCAAATGGTCTGCTCCTGCTCCTAGTTTCTATGAATCTGTTCTTTATTGGTTATGGTTTTATGGGTGTTATTTTTGCTGAAGGGTGTTGCTATACTGTTCACTCTGAATCTTCCTGCCGGGTAAGAATGGAAGGCAGACAAACAGGAGGCTGTTCGGATTGCAGCATTTGCAGGGTTTTTTTTGTCTCTAACCAAGAATGGGAGGGAGGTTTTTCCTGGGTAAGTTAAGGAAGTGAGAGCAT